GACGCAAATCGGATGCAGTGTGAATCCAGCAATAGGATTGGTAAAAAATCCGTAGAATTTGGGACAAAATCCGTATATCCGTAATGCTGGATTCACACTGCATCCGATTTGCATCGTACCACGCTCTTCAACCAATCAGAAAACAGGATTCCGATGATACGAAGCAAAATCTATCTGAATCCTGTTTTCTGATTGGTTGCAGAGCGTCGTACAACGCAAATCGGATGCAGTGTAAATCCAGCATAAGGGTTTGCGCAATAGAACAAAATTAGGAATAGGAATAAGGTCCTGTGCACAATGGAGGAAACATTGACCAATCATCTTCTAGCATAACCGTAACGTAACCGTAATCGATAACGTAAGAAATCTACCCCGTATAGTTTACAATGGCTGTCTGTAACCATTAGGGGTGATCCCGATTGACCACGGCTCGATTGGACACCACCAATCATAGCGACCGGTGCTTAGGAGCTTTGTAGTCTCAAGCGCTGTGAGTGGCTCGTGTCCAATTGAACCGTGTCCAACTGGGTGCCACCCAACCGTTAGAGCCCAGACACAAGCTTTTGCATAACGCATAGTGCATAAGCGAATCAACCAATAAAAATCTTTCCTTTCCTTCCATTTCATGGACAAGAAGAATTTCGATTGATTGATTTCCTTATGCACTATGCATTATGCGTTATGCAAGAGTCTGTGCTGCGGCTATAAGGCCGGAATCAGACTACGCATTGAAGAATGAGATTGAAAATTGGGGAGGATCCCGTTTGCCTACAATCCCGATTGCACACACCACTCATATCAGCTGGTGCCTAGTAATTTTTCACTGTTTTGCCAATGAGATTATTTTATTTTTAAATTGGCCAATTAGCGACGCATGTGTGCAACATGCAATGTGTGCAATCGGAGCCTTCCCGAAAATTGAAAGATTGATGTTTGACCAATCAGAACAAAAAAAGCTAGAATTTCTTTGTCTTCATTGGTGAAATTTCGGGAGGGCTCCGATTGCACACATGTATCGCTGATTGGCCAATTTAAAAATAAAATAATCTCATTGGCAAAACAGTGAAAAATTACTAGGCACCAGTTGATATGAGTAGTGTGTGCAATCAGAACTGTAGGCAAACGGAATCCTCCCAAAATATTAAGTTTAGCTAAGATTAGTACAAATTAAATATTGATGAAAAAAAAGGTAAAAGATACAGAACATTAGTCACAAGGAACAAATTAAAGAAATACAAGGTGAACAGAATATTTATGCACGTATTTATAGTCAGGCCTTATATATTTAAGGCTCCATTAAAATGTTACCAAATATTTGTATTTTTAAAAATTTCAATCTTTAATTGTATTAAAAGTATGTTAAACTTACAATTGTCTTACATGCTAGCAGTCGATGACAGTCCTTAAATGTAATTAACATGTATGATCACGCTGTAACATAGTTTGTTCGTCAAAGCAAAATCCCCATTTTGTACTTCAGCAACAGCGATCTCAACAATTCCTGCGCGATATAAGAAATCTCTTTGTACATCAGTAAAATATATATGTGTCGAGAAAAGAAAGAGATCTAGACATGCCTAACATGAAAACTAACAATATATTCTGCATTAGTACGTTGCACCGATATTGCGAATGGGTCAGTTGGATGGAACGTGAATGCAACTAATCGTCTTGCAGCCGTTGGTGCCGTTCGTCCCAGCATACCGGCATACATTCTAAATTTTAAGAGACCCGAGTCACGTGCATAAAAGCTGTATAAAAGAAAAGAAATTAGAAATTACAGGCAAAGATTAGTTTTCTCGATAACTTTTTGCCACAAAGATAAGAATGAATCGCCAACCGTATTGGATGTTCCCCACATGCTTTTGGGCGTTCCATCATAGACACCCATTTGTCGTCGTAACAGAATAAAGATAAATCGAGGTACGGAGAACTCGAGTAGGATTGTGCACATATTGGTAACTGAGCAAGCAGCCTTTTAGTAGCTTCAGTTATGCCTCCGTATCTAGCGCTTATTATCGTTTGCTTGAATCTTTGCTGCAACAATCTGAAAAGAAATGAAATAAAGTTAAAGCAAAATTATCTAGATAATGTATTTTATGTGTGCATTAATGTTAAGATGAAAAATAATATTATATACCGTGCATATATGTTGTTAGATGGTGAACACATGTACTGACAATCCGTGCTCATTCTGGCATTTCTGAAAAAGTCGCTAAAGTTTTCGAATTGGGTTAACAATTGAGTCGACGCGTTGTCGTAAGCCGCCAAAATTTTTGCCATAACCATATCGTAAACCACTAATAAAGCCGGCTGCGCGTTTGGCTCAGTTGCTTGCAACGTTGCTACTTCTTCGCTAGCATATCTCACCAGGATGTGATTGGTATCTAATAGCTGCATCTTCCACATTCTTAGAGAATTTAGCTGATCAAAATATTGATAAAATCTTCTCAGTTCATAAGGATCCTTGGTCACGTAGCTTATATATTCTGCTCTTTTGTATAAATATACTAGTAATCTGTGCTTCAAACTATTTATTGCAACATCCTTAAATGGCCGACAATTAATCCCAGGAAAAGCACTCGTCACTAAATAAGCATCGTCTTCCATGCAAAACCTAACACATGTCATTTATGTTGTATTTTCATGTCTTTTATCAAAGTGTTAATAACTGTAACATTTAGTAAGATAATGCTCATAATACCTTCCTATCGTTCTGACATTTATAAACATGCCATCAAGAATTTGAAAGATATGAATCATTTGATGCTGTACAGATAAAACTGCTAATATATCTTTATATAAATATAGACCTATATAGAAAGGAAATAAATTTATTTTGAAAGTTTGAAATATTATTAACTGCTTAATTGACCAATATTTTAACAAAAGCAATTAAAAGAAACTTTGCCCATTTTGAATTTCTCATTCAGTAATATTTATATACTAATCAATAGAGGAATAATAGACTACTGAATTATTTGATATCCATTGATACTAAAATATCATGTATTCAGAACTTAAAAATGATAGTTTGTTCAAATAATTCAAAAGTATAAAATCGCAGGCTAGCGTAATTTTTTATTTGAGCCAAGTTTAGTTGCTGGACAAGAGGTTCAGAACCCATATAAAAATGAGCAAAGTTCTTTGTGCTCTTCTTAGCAAATCATACTCGTACAATGCTAGATTTAACTTGGTCAGATAAACAGCGATGGTGTGTCCAAATTTTACTTATATACCTTGATTGTGCGACAAATAAATTTTGTCGACTTTAAAATGTCTAGTGTCACATAACTTTCCACCTCTTAAATCAACAAGGTG